TTACCTTCTTCTCTACCTCTTCCCTGGAGAGTTTCTCCTGTAGAGAAGCATTATTTTCCCTTAAATCTGATATGATTGCACTAAACTCTGTCTCCTTATTTTTCATCTCCAGCTCTAGAAAAACGCAATTGATTGACACTTTAAGTTATAAAAGGCAAGAAATAAACTGTCCTGACACAGGTCTACTAAATAGTGATTAATTGTAAAGGCAACAAAATTACCTTTCTCAGTGCATTTTTTCTCAGCAGATTCCAGTTCATTACGGAGTTTTTCCTTCTCCAAGACATGGTTCTCATCACTCTGTTGGAACCATCTGACACAGCGCTTGAGCTTTTCATTAAGTTCCATCACACCATCAAGTTTCTTCTGCCAGATTGAAACAAAAAAAGACAAAGAACATAATTTAGGAACTATACCAAGAAATTATACAATCAGTTTACCACAGAAAGTTACAAAGAGAACCTTGAGATCAAACTTGCTCGCTTTTGGCTTTTCATTCAACAAAGCCTCAACTTTTTCTTTGGTGAACTCACTGCCACACTCCTCAGTACTACCCACATCGGTTGCAGTTGTAGCTTCTTGCTCATTGGTAACAGCACCAAATGGTTGTCGTGTTCGACCTGTGCTTGTAGGTCCCATCCTTCTTCCTGCCTCAACCTTCCGTCGTTTGTCTAATGGATTATCATCAGCACCACCATCCTTCTTCTACAAACCATTAACCAAAACAGAAAGCAAGCAGTAAGTAAACGAACTTCACGATAGATCAAGTAAGCAACTCTGAACACTTCCCCTTAAGATGTCGAGCATTATAAATTTATAGCTTAGTTAAAAGTAAAATCAAAATCAACAGATAATAACAGATAGCAGGATTTGGATTTTTATTTACTCCTCCCTTAAGCATAATGCAACACTGAATCCTAAGACTTAAAAGCCCTAGAAAATACAAATGAAGCAAAAACCTACTCAATAAGAGTCAGCATCATGCTCTAAATTAATATATATATATATATATATTTATAGTTTTATGGGTACAATTTCCTTCAATTAGCAAGAGACTCCCGCTCTGTTTCGCTGCTGGGAAAATTAGGGATACATAGAATATTCTCGTAACCCAAGAAAAGGGAAATGGTATGAAAGCCTAAGAAATCTGATTTCATCTAATTTTTCATTTCTAATACATTTTCCGTTAGCATTTCTCAGTAGCCCAAAATCCCTAACAGACAAACGAAAAAAAAAAAAAAAGAATTCCAAAAACAAAAGAACGAAACATAATATTGGGCTTACAGCGGAGCGACTTGGAGGCGGCCTGTTTTGGTTCCGCGACGACATCACAAAAGATGAATAATCGAAACGAAAAACAAACTAATTCCGCAGAACAGAGGACCGGTATCTAGAGTTCTAGTCAGGCACCGGCCGCTAATTGCATCAGTCTACAACTTCAGCAGTTCGTTTGACAGGAAATGAACTGCAAGTCTGCAAGATCGAGCCGTGTTCGTCAAATTTTGAAGTAAATATGGGGGTTTTCTCTGTTGTTTCGATGCAATTTGGGGATGAATGTGAATGTTAGGGTTCGGAAAAGGGGAAGAAGAAGTGAGAGAATTTGGGATTGTGAAGTTTGGGAGGAGCCGAGCGCCTGGAGTTTGAATTGATTTGAAATCAAATCTGGCGGGCTCCAGTTCTCCACGAAGGGAAAAAATAACGTTAACTTAACTCTACTTTTGGGCCCACCGGATGGGTCGGTTATTTAGTTAGCCCATTTTATAGGGTCCACTTAACAACTCAGCCCACGGTTCTTGGGCTAAGAACAAGCCATACCAAATTTCCCATATTTTTTTGTGTCAAAAATCAAAAGGCCAAAACCCTATTTTCACCCTTCATTTATATCATTTTCACGATCAACACCTTCTAAAATTTTTCCTCCCTATTCACATCCTTAATTTTTTAAAACTTGTAAAAAACCCAATATTTTAACAGGTCGTCATGATACCATTAAAAAATGTATTACGTGACACTCAAAAATTGACGTGGCAGTATATGGCATTAATAATCCAATGTGGACTTTTTTTTGATGACATGGCATAATTTTTTACACAAGTGAATGCCACATGTACAGTGAGACCAACAAAAAATTGTAATACGTGACACCAAACAATAACATGAACATTATGTCCTTATTAATCCAATGTGGACTTTTTTTTCTTGATGATGTGGCGTTTCTTCATCTTTTTCTTTCCTCCTCATCCTCGGCATCATCTTCACCATCCTCTTCTCCTCTTCTCAATGGGTTCTATAAAACCCAAATTCTGGGTTCTTGGGTAGAACCTAGATCTAGGTTCCAACCATTTTTTTTTTTTCATTTTTTTTTTTTGAATGTATTTATCTTAGTTTCTTATTTTATGCAAAGCAATTTGGAATAATTTTTTTGTTGGAAAGGTGATTTTTTTTGCTTGGAGATTGTTTTTGAACAGATTGCCAATTTGAGTTCAAGTGGGATTAACATGGATGACAATAACGGTTTTTTCGTTTTTTGTGGGAAAGGGGTGAAAGATGCATATCATGTTTTAGTGCAATATTCATTTACTTATAATTGTGTGGATGAAGATCTTAACTTGGCAGGCATTCATGTGAAACTGGGTTCCATGAGGAACTCAGAACCTTGGTTCTGTGAGGAACCCATGAGGATGAGGACGAGAATGGTGAAGATGATGCCGAGAAAGAAAAAAATGAAGAAATTAAAATTAACTATGATTTAATTATAACACATTATAAAAAAAAAAAAAAAAGTCTACGTTCCATGAGGAAATGTGACATATCGTCTTAGGTTCCTGGTTCCATGAGGAACCCAAGAGGATGAAGAGGAAGATGGTAAAGATGATGTCGGGAAAAAAGAAAATGAAGAAATTAAAATTAATTATGATTTAATTATGCCACATCATAAAAAAAAAATCCACATTGGATTAATAAAGTGATATAACGTTTATGTTACTGTTTAATGCCACGTATTACAATTTTTAATAGTTATTAATGTTTCCATTACCGCTCATTAGAATATTGGATTTTCATGAGTTTTGAAAAATTGAGGGTGTGAATAAGAAGGAAAAATTTTGAAAAATGTTGACGACGAAAATGGTATAAATGGAGGATGAAAATAGGGGTTTGACCAAATCAAAATCACATGAAACCCAATCCGACGTGTCAAACATCAGGATCAACTAATGCCACGTGTCTTCCATGCACTTGTTCAGTTCATATCCTAGTTAAGTAGTTATCCTGACTTGAAAAAATTCCCCTCTCCCAAAATTCTCCCATGTTCCCAAAAAAAAAAAAAAAAACTTGAAAATGACAGAAAAGATGCCCTGTTTCCGAAACCAATCTGCATCACATAATCACAGAACAGAAAAAAAACCCGCAATCCAAGAAACACAGGAAAAATATAATTTCACCATTTGTAGGTAGATTTAATTTGAGGGCACTCTGGTTAGGGAAATGGCACAAGCAATGGCTTCAATGGCGGGCTTACGTGGCACTTCTCAGGCCGTCCTGGAAGGCAGCCGCTTGAACATGGCTGCTGCCACCAAAACCAGAGTGGGTGTCCCCAGGTCTGGTTACGTCGTCAGAGCACAACAGAGGTCGGCCGAGTCTGAAACTAGCCGGAGAGCCATGCTGGGACTCGTTGCTACCGGTTTGGCTTCAGGGTCGTTTGTTCAAACTGTGCTTGCTGATGGCTTATCCATCAAAGTTGGCCCTCCTCCTCCGCCTTCCGGTGGATTACGTAAGTCCCCCCATTTAATTTTTTGTCTTTCAGAGTTTAAAAATTGCTCAATTTTTGAGATTGTTCAGCCGGAGCTCTGAACTCCGATGAGCCAAGAGACCTTGAGCTGCCATACAAGGACAGGTTCTTCCTCCAGCCACTTTCTCCTACGCAGGCGGCAGTACGGGCAAAGGAGTCAGCCAAGGACATTCTTGGGGTCAAGAGTTTGATAGACAAAAAGGCTTGGCCGTACGTCCAGAATGACCTCCGTCTCAAGGCGGAGTATCTCCGGTATGACCTCAACACCGTCATTGCTGGTAAGCCAAAAGAGGAGAAGAAGAACCTAAAGGAACTCACCGGAAAACTTTACCAAACCATCAGCAATGTGAGATCAAAACCATTCTGAATTCCATATCTTTTTCGAAGAAAATTGCATTTTTTTTATTTTTTATTTTTTGTAATTGATTAAAAATGTAGTTGTTTGGTTTTTTGCAGTTGGATCATGCAGCGAAGATCAAGAGCTCCCTTGAAGCAGAGAAGTACTATGCTGAGACTGTTTCTACCCTAAATGATGTTCTTGCTAAGCTTGGCTAATATTTATGTATTGTGTCATTTATTGAGAAACTTTGTTTGGTTTTAATCCAGAGGGAAAATCAATAATTTGCTAATTTTATGAAGCAAATTTCCTTCCTTTTATAAGAAGTTTCAAAACCAACAACAGCCTAATCAGGTTAGTATCCACAATCCACATTACAAACTTATTGAGTTCATATTTTTACAATTTTAAGCAACTAATTCCGAATCATATTGTATTTTTTTAAAAAAATTAAAGGATTATAGTTGCAAAAGCGCAAAAACAATGCAGCAATCAATATACGCAGCTTTATAACAGCGGAGATACTTGTTTAGCTGATGATTTAAAAAGAATCAAAACCCAAGAAAAAATTGCAAAAAACTGGAAAATACAAGCTTAATTAAAGGGCATTGTTCAATACATGTGACTGATTATGCAATAATAAGCAGGGGCGAAGAGATGAAGGGGATTTAACTCCTTGTGCAGAAGAAACGGTAACGTATAAATGCGCCTTTTAATTTTTCTTTCTTTGTCAAGCATATCAAGCCGTTTAATATTTCCTTTAGTCCTGCATCTT